ACACACTTGGACACCTTTTCAAGAACTGCAATATGAAAAATTATCTAAAACAAAGTATAGAAGCAAAATCTCAGTGATTTTTACACAGTGACACAGTCACTTAGCAACACAATGAACCAAAATAACAGAACACTCTTGGCTAGTTGTGGGCACCTTTTACAGGTTGGCCAAGGTTAATGGGGACTTCTGCTGGTTAAATAATTAAATCTTTCTAACGGCTCATGGGCAGAAAACGGCACTGCTTTAATGGCAGGAAATCTGTAAATCAGTTATTCTTGCCTTCCTGTTGTGGACCATTTTTCCTGTGTACTATAGAGCTTTTGCATAGGTGAATTATTTACCTCAAAGGCAAGAGGAATTAGACGCACTGCCTTCTAAAGCAGGTACTCAGCAGATTCCACAAACTTCTTACAGTACCATGGATATTCTTAACAGTTCTCAGATATAAAGATTATGACTACAGAATAAAGAACAATAATGTTCTGAAGTCATCCAACAAGAATGACATAACAGCATAATTATTCCATACAAAAAAAAAAATTAATAATAATAATATTTTCCTACGTACTCAGCTGACAGGTTATTAAAAATACAGATTGGAAAAAAAATCTTAGATTTTTGGTTTTGAACATGACTTTAGAGAAGGCTGAGAAGTCCTGAGGAGGTGGGTTAATTTCTGCTGGTTTTGGCAGGTTCCAATTTTCCTCATTTTCTATAGCTGCCGTAGCCTCTGACTACGGAGCCTGTGGCCTGTGTTCAGACCATGCTGCTGGTAAAGGTTGTATAAACAATGCACAGTCAACATGTATTTTGTTTTCTTCTGAACAGTTCTCAGAATTGAACGTATTACAAAATTCATACAACCATCCTGCCACTGTAAATCTAAGTCCTAGCATCTGAGAGTGCTACGTGAAACACAAGAGAACTGGAACTGAATTTGTAAATCACTTATGAATTGTATGGAGAAAGCACACAGAAAGGCTGTCAGAAAGCCATACCAGAGGTACAGTAAATGAGAATGATAATTTTTATCATGTTATTTCTTATTCCAAATCACTTTCTGAACTTCTCCATTCAAAATTGTTTTCTGTGTTTGTGCAAGTTGGGATATAAATAGCCAGCACAGAGACTGAAGCCATAAGCTACACAAGTGTTTCCAAGCATTGTTACTCTTGAAAAGCCTTCAGTCTAGATCATCTCTTGTGGTAAAACCAAATATTAACAGCTAAATAATGTTAGAAAAAATCCAGGAAGTTGCAGAATGGGATGGTAATGATTTAGCCCATGAAAACCTTTTCTTGAAATCACTCTGAAACCATGTCCCAACACAGAGCTACAGGGGAAAAAGGGGGGAAAACTGGATTATCCACTGCCATGAAATCTAGTGTGAAGTTCTCTCTGCTTGTCATTACTTACAATCTGTCAATAATGGTAATATTATTAATAACAACATTAACACTTGGATTAACACGTTAATATTTTAATTTTTTAATAACATGCAGTAAAATATGAAGAATGAGATAAAGCTACTGCTACTGAAAAATTCTTAATTCTCCCCAGAATAAAATTACTTTGTGTGTGTGTGTGTTTAAGTTATTAAGGGAGAGACCAGGTTCTCAGTTTACCTCTCATTTAAATGCTATAAGTTTGAACATGCATTACACTAAACTACACTCCTGCCTCAGAGGTACTTGGGACATATGATGCTATTCTCCACTTCTCAAGATTTATCTCATTAACTTTGGAAGAAAATAGTCTTAAATCTCAGAAATTCACAACAAGAGAGGCTGAGCACTGAAAACCATGCCATGCCAATTCCTGATTCAAACAGACTGCACAGTAAATTCATCATTCTCATAACATTGTCCAGGGTATATTTTATATTACAATATCAGCAGACTTCATACTTCCTTCTCCACAATCAAGCTGTTAGACCTTGCTAGATGGATAACAAAATGCATTCTTCACAGCACAGTTGATTTATGTCACAAGTTGTTTTACTTCTGTATTTCCATGCATTTCAGTGTTTTAATTTGTTTCAAAATGACCCAGAGAAATGCCAGAAAAGGATTTTAAAAAAATAAAAATCTACCAACTTCTCATACGTGACTATACTAACTGAAACTCCAGAAGTATGTTTTATAGGTGCTTAGCTAAATGTTTCTGTTGGAGACTAACAAAGGATAAACTCATCCAGACTTCATAAGTTTATTCATTTCTGCTCATGAATGATTTCAAATTAGGGAGTTATTGCAGGGTTAATTAAGGATCACTGAAACTGGTAGCCGTGAAGGGTTGCTATCATGACCTTTTATTTCAGTTAGTTGAAAGTCTTTATGTCTCTTTATAGATTCAGATAGCTGAAAAGAGAGTTACCTTAAACTAGATATAGCATTCCTGCTGCTTCCAACTAAAGACACAAGGAAAGTACTTCTGATTAAAGACATTCTGAGCTATAGTTTTGTGAAAACAGGCAGAAAGATGAAAGATTCAGAAACAAAAGGCATCAAGGAAGTAGCAGACACTGAAGTCTGCTTCAATAACATGACCCTTGAGAAGAGGTAAAAGAAAATTTGGGGGCTAGGTTGTAACAAGAGAATAAGAGGAAAAATTGTACACAAAACTATCAGAGAAACTGTTCTTGAGATGTTCTCAGTCAGATTACTCCACAGATTGCAATAGCTTTTCCAGTTGTCATGACTTACTTGAACAACTTGTAAGTCTGGTGTTTTGATTAAACAACATAGATCCAAAGGAGATCCCTACCGAATCTCCATGACTGCAGATCAAGCAATGGAAGTTCTGCTTTTGGTAATTCATCCAGTTCTCCCGTAGAGTAACTAAGGACTTACAGATTCCTGACTTTCAACTCTCCAGTCGAATCCAGAGAATACAACAAAATACTACTTCAATGGTTATGAAATAAATATATAAAACAAGACAAATCTGGGTCCTGGGGAGTGAATACATTATTCAGAGCAATCACAAGCCATTTTTTCTGTTGTGTTAGTAGTGTACAAGGCTTGGTATGAGAGAATCCATGCAAGTTTTTTGACAAGTAAAATTTGCCTACTTCTTTTATTAAAGCAATTTTATTTATTATCTATTTAAATAATAGATCATGAAAGAAGCAAGTAATAATTTGCTAATTGAAAATTGGAAGCTCGTGGCTTACATTGGCTGCTCACTACAGTTCAGTCCAACTTTGCTACCATATGAGACAGACACAAAAAACAGATCTAGTCATACAGATTCCATTGCAGTTCAGGATTAAAAGTATAGATGCCTAATAAAGTTACCTTAATCCCTTTAATTAAGTTTCTAGAAATCCTACATTGAAGCATTTGTTGTCCATGGGCTGGTAAAATATCACTTACGATTGACATTTTGAAACATTTTGTGTATATTCTCTGTGTATTTTAAATGTAATTAATATACACACTTACTGAAGACATCATTAGATATTTAAAATAATTTATTTTCTGAGTTGACATACCTACTTAAAGATACAAGGCTTGTGTTTAGTAAAAAGAGAAGGCTAACTACCATAGCTCCCTGAAATAATAAGCAGCATAATGGGTTTAAATTTGAATGTGTGAGATTCAACCTTGAAAACAAGTATGCTGCCAAAAAAGCTCATAAACACTTCATAGAGTTTTCAGTGTGATAACAGATCTGTCTCTGCAACTCTCTGACCTGTCCAGGCATATGTTAATCTGTTATATCTAAGTTACTAACGGCACAAGACCCCTGACTAATTGACATTGGTGTGAACAGATTGTCATCTTATACCTCTTAAACAGGGAGTTTCAGAATGATGACACTTGAGGTTTTTGAATATAAAGCTCAATCTTGTACTTACACTTCTGGTCAGGGTTCATATTTGAGCCTAATGGTTCTTGTTGATGATGCTGTTTTATAGAAAATAGGTAGCTGGAGTCCACAAATATCTTTACAATAAATAAAGTACATGCAAGGAATAACTATAAATATCATAAGGTTGCACAAAGGTGATGAAATACATGTACATTTACCACAATCACTGTGCAATTATAGACCTTACATTTGTCTTATATTTAATTTTGCACAGGAGTGAGTCTGAGTCTATCTAGGCCCACAATATTATTTCACACAGGTGACATAAATTACTAACATTCTTCCATCTTTTCCTTTCATACCATTTTCAGTTGTGTAAGAGTGATAGAACTTCATGTTTTGAGCCCTAAAGGGATATTTTAACTATTTTTGAAAGACATTTTTACCTTTAAAAACATGACCAATTAAAAAATTAACAAAGTAACAAATTAAGCAGCAGACTTAAGATGTTCACTAAGCCTTTTTGGTTTATGAGCATGACATGCTATAAGCAGTGACATACTAAGGGACTTAGTACAGAGCAAGAAACATGATACTCCTGAAGACTATTCTTTCTCTCATTACTTCGCTGTTCTGGGTTTGGTTTTACAGACCAAGACCAACATCTTTAGGAAAAATAATCAGATAGGAAAGAACCTCTGAGATCTTCCTACCTAACCAAAGATTAGTATATATACAATTTAGTCAGTACTTATTTCAATATATACTTCTAATGCTACCAGCTCTCTCTCACTACATTTCAATCTCATGTGACTACATTCTCAAATATTTGCCTTAAAGCTATTATGTCTTTGTTTCAAGCATGGCTTTACAATAGTCTCAGGCTTGGGAATTTGGATCCACTAAAAAAAGGAAAAAATATACTCCATTATATTATGTGATCTGAACATCCTTTTTCCAGCAAGCTGCTCTTAGATGAATTTTGTTCTGACAAAACAGACATCAATAGTAATAAAACAAAGGTTTCTAGGAATACCAGAGGATTGCTCTACCGTCTAAAAAATAAATAAATTAAAACAATCTCTGTTGCTTTCCCACTGAGTTTATTTTTTTTCCAAGAAATCAACATAATTTTGTCTATACCTGAATAAAATAGTTAAGTGAGCTCATTTGTTTTCACTCACCTTCTGAAACCACCAGTTATGGTAACTAAAGCATCTGGTAGAAACGTGCACACAGTATTCTTGACAATCAAGCTTACTGCATCTGCTTCTGCTTTAGATACAAAGCTAACAAGGTCCTCATAGTAGAGAAACCCTGGAAATCAAAGGTAAAAAAGTGCTGATCACTCTGTGGAATCATTAAAATCTACATACTATTATGTAAGCCCAGTGTGAAATATAAAGCCACGCTTCACCAGGAAGTCAAATCACTCAGTTTGTACTAAGGACAAGAGAACCCTAACTAGCAGCAAGAAATGCCTGACCTTGAACCTGAAACTATAGATATGTTTTAGGGCACATTATGCAAAGAAATATATTTTGATTCATCTTATTCAGAAGTCTTTTCCTTCCTCCCCATCATTCCTGGAGTCAGCCTCTTGCTTTGGCTATGGAGGAATAACAGGCAGGAGACAGCTTCTTACTTTCCTCATCTTTGTCATTATGATTTATAAGAACAGCTGTTAAAATTTAAAATCATAGTAGTCAAGGTAGTAGTAATACATGTTTTCACTTGCTGAGAACTTGTCTCAGGAACCTGAATTACTCTCACTTCCCTATTAGTCCCCAACAATTGGGATTCTGAATGTTCTGCTTTAAAGGGAAGTCTTGAAGTCTTCCTGAAATGGGGGTTTATCCAAGCAAGGGGCTCAGAGTTTATGAAATATCCCAGCTTTCTTTACAACTGATCACAAACCTAATTCAGAATCTAAGGATTCTAAAGTGATATAAAATACAAGGATTTAGTACAAAAATAAAGTTACATGATTTTAATGTCATGTTATATTATCTCCTTTTCTTAATGTATAGTATAGCTTTCTTAAAATGAGTTCTTTTACTTTCTGAAATTGCACACAAAAAAATCTGTGGGGAAGCAACATTGTTCATTTTATCATGTTTAAAACTTTGAAGTTAAGATGTGCCAGGATTGTGGAGGTAATTTTGCAAGCAATTTATTATATACTTGATTTATTACTAGAGTAGGGCTGCCTTGAACAAGATAGGTCTCCTCTGAAAAGTAGTTCTGGGTTTTCCTAATGTTGGAAGTTTTTTTCACAGACTGTGCATTAATGACTCATCGATAATTTTGTGTATAAAAGTGGATTTCATTGGATATCTGTGTAGGTATTTTTAAAAGTACACAGTAATAGCTGTTGAATTACACCATTTTAGAGTGCCCTGTTACATCAAATATTATTTTAACCTAACAATATAACATTCCAAAGGTGCTGCAGCAAGAAAATAGATTTATAAGTGAACTGTGCTGCCACTGCCTCCTCTTCTGATTCTGTTTTAAAGTTCTCAGACCACAGAGATACTGAGTTTTTAATGGGACTTGCACCTTACCTGCTCTCTGCATTTTTGACAGCTTCAAGGTCTTGTCAGCTTTTACCTCTTCCAGAGTTCGTAAACCCATTCTGAACCATTTTTCAGATGTCTTCACTCCCACTCCAAAGACTGAAGTAAACTGCTAAGGTCAGTAGAAGAACACATATTTCAGTATTGTTTTCTAAAAGAACGGTAAATTAATAATAAGTCAAGGTGGTTTCCCAGTGGAAATACTGGACAGAATTTATCTTATATTGAAGATAAAGAATAGCATATTGCATATATGCAGATACAGCTTCATTTCTTTGCATAGTTATATTCAGCAGACAATTGTTTTGATATGTGAGCTGTTCTCATTAAAGTGAAATCTAGAAAATAATATGGTAGAATGCCCAGCATCTTTGCATGATTTAGTTAAATGCACACTTTCAACAAAGGTTTGAAATAAGGGTAGTATCCTTTGTTTTTACTGCAAATATAAGAAATTAAAATATTTTACAATATTTTAGGTAGCTGAAGTCCCTCACAAAAATTTCATAGAACAAGAGGTGTCTCAACACAGCCTGATTTGACTAAAATTATAATTTTGTATTTTATGCATTAGAAGCTCTCGGTTGTATACATGATGCTGGTGTCACTGCACTCTGGAGAGGTGGGGTAACTGGGAACCCTCCAGCACTGAGGGCAGTGTCTCAATAGCACACAGAAACAGATGGTAAATGTATAAAGGCTATAAACATATAAAACATATTAAAAAAAAATTTACACTACATGCTATAAAACACATATGTTTGCAGGTTGCGTCAACCATTCTTCTCCAAAATGGAATTCGATTTCAAGTACAAATGGAGAGATCATTTCTGGTTGCTTGAATATTATAAACAGTCTCAAAGTACGTCAGTACTGAGCCAAACTAAAATCCTATCAGTCTTATTTGGAGTACAGATTTCACTATTCTGCCCATAGAGGGAAAAATAAATAAATAAATAAATAAAAATCTACCACCCCAAAGTTTTAGTATGGTCATATCCCATTAATTCCAAAGTCATTTTTTAAACTTATTCCCCAAGAAAAGTTGTAAAACAAAAATGTCACAGATGTAAGCATTATTCATTGGATCAATATCACAGATGAACAGTAATATGAAAGCAAGAGGAAAAACCTTGATGCATGCCCAAAAGCACGTTCTTCATCTTCACTTTGTCAATACAGAAGCTCTCAATAGTTTCATTGTGCTTTTATGGAATTCACTGAGTAGCTATTTATGATGCAAATAATTGACATTTTCCACTGAATCTACAACCTCTGAATTCCAACCATGCTATTTTGTGTTTTTCTAATGAAATTAATTCCTTGAAAATAATCAAGATTAAAAAAAAATGAAAATCTTCAATAATATTAAATAGGAATTATCCTACATTTGCATATAATGGATGAAATTACCTATCTTTGTTTGAAACATGGGCATTTATGAAAGAATGATTTTAAATACTTTGATTGCTATCTTTTAATGTTTCTGCTAGTACTGCATTTTCAAAAGGATCTATTACTGGATATAGAACTATTCCAAGAAATTCAATTAATGTGGGGATAGAGAACTAAAGAAAATTGATTTTATGTCATTGTCTAAATTCATGGAGGCGGTGGGGGGTAATCTTCCATAATAAAATCCATGATTATTCAGTAGATTCATAGATGTCAATTTGAAGACACTGCAAGAGTGCAGTGCGTAACAGGCCTAATTCTTCAATTCTGGACACAAACATTGCTCTTTTCCATCTGGTAAAAGTGAATTATATCAACTTTTCCTCTCAAGCACTTCCATAAGGAGCAAACCTAACCATGTAATTCATGTACCCTACATGTAAAACATAGACCATGTAATTTATTTCAGTGGTTTGATAATTGTGACACTGTGACCTCTGGTGATCTTTAAAGTCATGATGAGTGATTTGCACTCATATTGAGACACTGCCCTCAGTGCAGAATTAAAGAGCTGCAGGGTTCCCAGTTACCCCACCTCTCCAGAGTGCAGTGACACCAGCATCATGTATACAACCGAGAGCTTCTAATGCATAAAATACAAAATTATAATTTTAGTCAAATCAGGCTGTGTTGAGACATCTCTTGTTCTATGAAATTTTTGTGAGGGACTTCAGCTACCAGAACCAAGTGAAACACTAAAATTTAGGAATTTGCTAATATTATGGGATTCTTCTTCACTTACCTGAAGACACACAAAAAAATGTTGTAAAGGACAGGCTACAGCCAGTTTAGCCAAAACGTTGAAGTTGGGCTCAACTAAAAAAAGATCCACATTGCTTTGTTGTAATTTGGAATGTGAAACATTGCATAAAGCATACTGGCCATAATTTCACTGATAGGTTTTATTCTAATATTCTTAAACTCTGAAACTCTTAAAATATTCTTAAACTCTGAAACATAATATTCAATTGTTGGTCCTCAATTTTTACTACCATTAATAAGTAAGTCTGGTTCCCGAATCCTGCTACATATGTGAATCTACACCTCTTTTCTGAACATTGTTACAGACAATATCAACAAACATCTCTGAACATCCTTTTATACCAGTATTATGATTCTGAGAGAATGGAAGTGCCTTTGAATAGCTCAAGTAAAACTGAATAAAATGGGGGAAATTAAAGAGTCTCATTCCTTTTACTCTGATTTATTTTTTTCAGAAAACACGGATTATTTTTAGAGGTTAAACCTGCAGATAAAATTGAAAATATATATTTCTAATATATATTTTTCCAGTGGAGAATTCACTGAATATTTAGGAAATTGAAACTGCAGTATTTATCTTCCAGATTCCCTGTAACTATGCAGAAATTTGATCATGAATCTCAACCTACAATACACGTAACAAAGAAACATCTCTTTCTTTTGCCTCACACAAAAGAGAATTAAAATAGTCATCTTCTTCACTCAGTATTTTCTTAATAAATGGCATAGTGTTATAATAACAGGCTAAAATAGGGATAAAAAAAGGCAAAAATAAACATTAGGTTAAACTTACTGCAAAGACTATGCATCACAATAGTTTTATGGAAAAAGAGATCATTTAGTTCTAGCTTAAGAGCAGCTGCATATACATCATGCTAATTAGAAAGTGTAATATTATTAGAGTGTAATATTATTAGAAAGTATAAAAAAGTAATAATATTAAAGTGTAATATTATTAGAAAGTATAATATTATTATACTTTCTTTCCCTTTGTATTTACTCAAGATCTTTTCTTTCTTTATACTTGGTGTTCTTTTACTGTAAAATAGATAGTCATGTCTAAGCCCTACTAAACAGAGGGTAATATACTCTATTTTAAATAAACAGCAACAAATCACAAAAGATTTACCTTAAATGATTTGTATCGTTCATCATTTAACACATCTTTAGCTCTAGAACTCTCTCCATCTTCAATAATCTCCTAAACAAATAAGAATGTTATTTTTAAAATCAAGATTACAGTGAGATATAGTAAAGTCATCTAATGGAAAATCTTATCAACATGTAAAAACATTGAGAGCATCCTTAGTGAGCACATCATTATATTCCAACAGGATTAAATTCTGCAATCCTTTTTTCACAGAAATTACTGAAGGATAAAGGAGAAACTGGGACCACACAATGAATTTCACAGTACTTATTTACTCATATATTTTCTCAAGGATGCAGTAGAAACTGGGACCATTGAATATATTTCACAGTACTTATTTACTCATAAATTCACAGCCAGAAAATTTATTTATCATAAGCTATCAATGATCTGTCCTGAAAATTAAATTTTGTTGCTAGAGTTTACTTCTCTTAAAAGTTAGAACATTTTTAAGACCAGATATATTTTTCATGAGTTAATAGTTCCTCCGATCTCTCTGATAAAAAGAAGAAAAGAAAAAAAAAAAAAAAAAAAAAAAGAGAGCAAAGCAAAACAAACAAGAAAAACATAAATTTATTCTACTTTCTGTGGAACCGTAGAACCATAATTGAATTCCCAGCCCTCAGGTAGTATGTACAAAGAGCTCTTCAGAGGCTACATTCTTAACCGGTGGAGTGAGGCAAAACAGGAGCCAGAGTGAATCAAAACACCCAGCAATGACCTCTGCAGACAGTGGAGACACTCAGATCAGCTGCCTGCTGGAATAACAGTACCTGAGATGTGGAGTCCTGAAAAGGCCAAGAATTAAAGAACAATGCAGGCAATACTCAAAGTCCCAATAAGAATGTAAAGTTCATGCTTCACCTAGGTAAAATGCTCTGCTATTCACAGCAAGGTGGGATTTAACATTAAAGTGCTAAAATTTACCAGTTTGGTTAAAAATAGTATTTCCAATAAGGCATTCAAGTGAGAAAAGTGATGTTGCCAAGGTAGAAGATGTCACATGAGCAAAATTATTACCAGTTAAACTACTACATCCAGATCAGAGTGAGTCTTTAAAAATGGCGCACAACAATCACAATCTATTATTTATTTAATGGTATTTATTCATGAAATAACTTCATTCATAAGGGAAACTCATAAGTTCAGTTTCCAAGCTTTATGTTACTATTAAAGGCTTCCAGAAATCATTGCATTCTTAGTAACAAGGATGATATATTGTTATTGAAGGAAATGCATAAGGGTGTGTAAATACACACCAAATATCTATACTGCAGTCTGTGATCTCTGAAAGTAGATCTGTAAAAGAATTAATTGGATAAGAATTTAGAGGTATGTTACCTCAATAACATCTCTGACTTGATCTCCCATGCAGGGCAACCCTTGTATATCTTTCATTCTGGTTACTGGAAATGGAAGACATTTCAGCACAGAAGCTGCTCTCAGAAATTCTAGACAAAATACTTCATTTTCTTTGAATTCATAATTTTCAGCCATTATTTCAAAGGCATCCTGGGAGAAGGGAGAAAGGGGATACAAAAAAAGTTAGTAAAAGCTTAAAGTATTCAGTATATTCCTTAAGGATTACTTTGTATAGTAATTCGAGATTTCTTTGTGATATCGTGAAAAGACAAGAGTTCCTCACATGAACTCAGCATCACTATCTAACCACTTAAAATTTCTCAGATATCATAAAAATTATATTTTAGAGTCAAATATAAGAAAAGATTTTGATTTAGGAAAATTTCAAAATTTAAAATCTTTTGTGAGATAAACTTTCCATATTCCATGCAGATCTAATAAAACAATGTGAAATAACAACCTAACTTTTACAATTAGGCACAAATGCAAGCAATCCAACACATCTTCATTTTCAAGTGCAATCAAGTAGGAGTCTGTGGTGACACTAGTAAACCACTTTTTTGAACTCGTAGCCATTCTTCTATTTAGTAATGTAAGGAACAAACCCACTTTTTCCTCACACTTTTCAGCGGTGTGACCTATGCAAAGAGGAAAACCTTTTATTTGTGGATCTTCAACTATCCATGGGCTGCTTTACTATAGATATTGCACTCAACTGTACTTGAAGATTGCCAGTAGAATTTTTATTTATTTATTTATTTATTTTAACTATCCAGAAGTCTTTTATGAAGTTTTGGAGCCTCTCTACCTACCCCACCACCACCACACCACCATCCTTCCAACTACGTGTGTGTGTATATATATATATATATATATATACACATACATACATACACATACATATATACATATACATATATACAACTACGTGTATAAATATATACCAAGCACTTTTAGAAATGAAATGAACAGATCATATGGTGGTGGAGAGGAGAGAGCTTTTTGGTTCCCTTGTGAGGAATACTGTGTTTCAAGAGAAAATAAATGTACTGTGCATGTGTGTGAGAATAACATGTAACACAAGAACTTCTGAAGGCTTCCAGCTGATTAGAAGCTGGAAATCTGAGTCCTTAATGAAGCCTTGCACAAAACCTCAAAAATTTTGAGGTTTTAAAGGCTGCAAAATTAAGTGGTTTCTTCTGAGATTTACAGAGTACACCATCTCCAGAAGACACATTGACTGTTCAAAGTATTTATCTAAAATGCATCCTGCACCTGGCTGTTAAGTATGCCCTTATGTACCACTCCAATGGTACAGGACAGGCTAGGTACAACCATAAAAAAATATGATCAGTAAGCCTTGCAAAGCTCCTGCACTGCATAGGGTCTTGCATCCCTGCAGGAGATCCCATTTCTTCCTCATCAGTCTCTCAAGAGCAGCTGCCTGATCCCAGCCTTGAAAAGGCGATACGTCCTGCTATATTTATGAGTTGTTGTATATCCTCCCTGTCTTCCAGCTTACTTCTGTTTCTTCTTTGACCCATGAGACATTACAAAATAATAAAGAGCTGGCTCTCAGTGTGCATCTGCCTGCAATTACACTTCACTGAGTTATAGTTCAAGTGTCTCTTCAGAAATGTTTTAAGAATAAGGTTACATAATTACCCTGTAATACAGATACCAAAAGATAGCAAATGACTTACTAAACTAATGACTGCAATGGATGGTAGAAGGGAAAAAATTAAGCAGTTTTTCCTATGCTCAGTGTTTATGGGAACAATGTTCATATTGAGGCTAGATTTTGTTTCATTTCTGATTAAGTCCATCTTTATATAATTTAAACAAAAACAACAACAACAACATTTTGCTTTTTTTTTCTTTGCATTAATGTGCTTTATATTGAAAGATAAAGCCACATAACCTACAGTACTTTCACGTTCTAGTTATTATATGTATAATACTTCCAGGTGAGCTGGAGTAAGTTCCTCCCTCACTAACCGAGGTGACGGCAGACCCAGTGAAATGGTTCCATCATTACCTCCACAGAACTGAGAACAACATCTGTCATCCCGCACTGAAGGAATACAGACTGATTTATACAACAAAAACACACTTGAGCTACAATCCTTTAGATCATTAAACATGAAGAACTTTTACAGAGTGAATGTAGATTACTTCCATATTACATTTAATTCAGTTTATTCAGTTCTAGAAAAATAAATCATCTGATACATTGTTCAGATTATAAACTTTATGGTCTCGTTGAATCAAAATGAAAGACTTAATCAAAATCTTGAAGTAAATATCTCTACTAACCGTAGGATTTTCAAAGTTTTTATCTCAAATAAAAACCTGAGATCTCAATTGGATTGGTATCTCTTTAAAAGAAATACATACCTTAGATGAACAAAAATACTTCAGTTTCTCCTTTTTTTTTCTGTGCTACCGTATTAAAGCATTCTGCATCTTCACATCTGTAGAAAATGTTATCAGAATACTGAAGCAAACGTTTATTCAAGGTTTACTTCCCCTTTTAGGGTCGTTTGTTTTCACTGTTCTCTGGTTCTTTCTTTACTCACAGTTAATATGTAGTCAACTAGCAGTACCTTCTGCATCTAATTTATCAGCTCCTCTGTGTGATATCCGTTAATATTGCTATAAGCCATTAATGCAAAAGTTGATCTGTTCTGGAGCCCATCTGTTGAAAGAGCTTTATTTTCTTTCCTCCTCTAGGATAGGAAATCCCAGACAAACCAGTTTATCTTCAAGGAATAGCTCATACATAAGTTCTATTTTGTTGGATTGGTTCTCAAAGACTTCCCTGAAGCAAATAGAGTCCTGGTTTCTGAGTGAACACTTGCTTATTAAGACCCTTAAGGAAATAATCAAGTCTTTGAGAGTTAGGGATTATTAAGTAATTAATTTCTGAGGATCTCTGTCCATCTCACCAAAGGAATCCAACCCTTAACTGAATACTTATTTATCAGCTATTTATCAGCTTAGTAAGTGCTGTGCCATTTTCATAACAAATCATGAAAGACCTCTTTGAGATAGAGAGCTGTTTAGCAAGATGCTTGATCTGGAAGTTTCTGCCACTATCTACATTGAACTAGCCCTCTGGAATAAGGAATTGAAGGAGTCAGATGTTTCCTCCTCTTTCTTTTTTTTTTTTTTTTTGGGGGGGGGGGGGGGGGGAGGGGAGGCGGGAGGGAGATGAGGGGGTGGGATGGGCCTTGGAAGATGGGTTCCTCCAAGTTCTTTTTGTTCTTTAGCAGCTTCAAAGATCCTTTCCTACCATTTAGGAAAATTAAGATATTACTTTTTGCTTTAAGTGATGTTTACATTTCCAGTCACAAAATTGTGATTACCTTTCCCTTCTTTTTTCTTTTCCTCTCTTTGCAACAAATGTACATGAATGCTCAAAAAAGAAGGGTTTGGTAATAAATATCTAAGTGCAGCTTAACCCTAACAGAATTAATCAGGAGACAGAACCAAAAAGTTATAGGTGTTCTAAAATAATCTATACAAATGCATAGAAAACAATTCTTGTAAGTACCTGCTCAGCAGGAAGTAGTAATGACAGACTAGCAAAGTCATCTTGATTAGAAAGCTCAAAAAGTCTAGGAAAGTTTATTCTCAATCCCAATAGGAGGCTGCTCCTGTGGGCATTTAAATAGACTTATTCTACACTGAAGAATAAACCATCAGGATAAACATGTCTGTATATACCAGTACCACTGCTGATTTAGAGAGGTACTAGCCCCCTTCTACTGGTGGGTGGGCAATTTTCAGAAAAGATATGTCACCATCATTACTGGAAAATGCAATCACATGTAGCATTTTACTCAGAGACTGTTGACAGTCAATGAGAAAATATAATCAAGGCATTTTTGTCATTCTAGTTTGCATTATTCAGTGTTTTCCTGCCTTTGCAGAGTTCATTAAGCCATTTTAAATAAACAGTTAAATAGTATTGAATATGTATTTTTCCCCATACAAAACACTGCCTGCAAATACAGCAATTAATTACAAATCTGCCTTTTTACATGAAACTGCTTTTAACATTCTTTTTGATAAAATCTTTCTGCTTTAAGAAAAAGAAAGCAACTGATTTCCAAGTGGAGTTGCAGTCTATTCAGTCTTATAGTCTATACTGGATAATATTCCAGAGGAGAAAAGCACGTGACACTCATATTAGCTGAGAAAAAGCTTGCAGTCTATAAATCACTGGTAAAATCTATTTACAGCGATATAAAAATGAAAGTTACTGACCCCTACGTTATTCTAAACCTTGGTACTTTATACATTAAGCACCTTTCCGACTTCTTTATCAGTTAGATGAATACACAGATTGCCTGTTTCAAAGATACTGGTGCAACAGGAAACTATATTTCTAAGATTTCCAACGTGTGGGATTTTAATTCTCTCCTGAGTATTCTGCAGAGGCTACTTTAATTAAATGTGAAAGATAGCTGGGCTACACTTCAGCTCTTTATTTTATTTTTTAAACCTTTTTACTGAAAATTTTCCATCTCTGCCTGAAACCGTGGAATGTGCACTGGTGAGACAAGGGCTGTGGAAATATTTGAGGATGGAATAGGCTTCAAGATCCAAGCTGGTCAGATGTAAAACCACACAGAGATTTTGATGAATTATGCTAAATATAATGAATGGGCTGACAGAAATTGTGAGACTTATTCAACGTTTGGTATTTAAGACTTAATATAAATAAAATAACAAGAACAAAAAAAAAAATACAAATAATCATCTTGCACAGGTAAAAATGTACTCTAAAATATTAGATTACAAATGCTAAAAATCACACTCAGATCCGTTCCCCTACTACTTGCAAAAGTCTTTAATAACCTGTCTAAAATTTTGCAAGAACAGAAATTTCCAATATTAAAGTGGAATATATAATAAGATAGGTATTTTGAGAAAATATTTTAAATCTAATTTATTTTGCAAGGAAAGCATTACGACTTCTTGCACAGGACACTTGTCTTATTTCCATGCCTCTATCCACTGTTCTGCCATATGACCTTGGAAAGCTGCTTCAAATCTCCTTGCCATTGTTTCCCTTGCTATCTTTCATTTGCTGTCTGCTAGGGCTGTGAACCCTCCAGGGCATGAATTGTCTTTTACAATGT